CAACCTCCATCTCCCAGGTTCAAGCGAGTCTCCTGCCTCAGGTGCCTGCCACCACACCCAGCACATTTTTGTATTTTTAGTAGAGACAAGGTTTCACTATGTTGGCCAGGCTGGTCTCAAACTCCTGACCTCAGGTGATCCACTTGCCTCGGCCTCCCAAAGTGCTAGGATCACAGGCGTGAGCCACTGCACCCCACTGGAAAGCCTTTCCTTTTCGCTTTGTCACTCTAGGGCATCTACAACAAAGCTTAACGTAATGCTCACCACAAGCAAGAAATGCTTAAAGTGTCTAGCTCCATTATCACAAAGCAGGTAATGCAGGGTGATTTGGAGATGAGGGTCAATATACTGAAAAATTGTATTGTGTTATAATATGCTATTTGCTATATTATACTGTATTATGTTATCATATATTCTGCTTATGGGTTAATCCTATCATTAAATTATTAGATTCTCACAGAATTTAGAAATAATAACTTTCTAACATTTATATTTGTTTACTTACAGTGTTGGATTATGCCAATTATACAATAAGAAAGCACTTAATTTGATGTTAAATAAATGTATGAATTAAATCTCTGTCTTACTGTATGGGGTTAATTTGGCATCAATATGGCTATTAAGTATATTGGACTCTGATAAGTTCACATATCCATTTAAACAAAAAGGCCCATCTCTCATTTCAAAGACATCTTTCCTAGAAGTCAGTGCTGGAAATAGCATTGTCAAGGTTGTTTTGCTAATCTCAAGTTTCTCTAAATCCATTACTGCCCAAGCTCTAATGTCAATTGCCTATTTTTCTAGATACATTATGCTCTGTAATGCTACATGCAATACTTCCTTGAGGTCATTACTATGACTACAGGTTTCTATTCTGACGTGTGATGTGGTGATAACGGAGCTTCTTTAAGAAGAACCAATTGTTCATTTTTCTGTACTTTCACACCTCAACGTCCCATCTGTCTGTGAGCAATCCTATAAGTATCTCTCTTGTATGGTCCTCCAATCAGTGAACCTCATGGCTGTGCAGAAAATCTTTGACAAGTAAAAATGAGTAAACTGCAGATTTGTTTTTTCATAGTTGCAACTGAGTTTACAGTATAAAGATAACCTCAGTCTCATACATTCAATTTGTCTATCTGATCAATTTCATGTCACACTAGAATTCTGGGCATGTTATACCTTACAAAGTAAAGTAAAACGATTGTTGATCACATCATAGCAAATTATCTACATCTTCAGAAAGAGAATTTTGAAAACCTCACACTGATAATCTAATAATTGTATTGCTTTTATCATGTTTTCTTCAGTAAAACATAAAAAGTACATTTCCTGGGGATATCTTACTCTTCTTTCCCAGTATTTCTGGAAAACTGTGCTGTGTAGAGTTTTAGAAAGTCACATTTGTCAGTAAAATAGAAATTTAAGAGAATTTACATTGCTCTTTAAAGTCATTCAAAATAATGCCTCCACTTTTTTTTTTTTTTTTTTTTTTTTTTTTTTGAGACGGAGTTTCACTCTCGTTACCCAGGCTGGAGTGCAATGGCACGATCTCGGCTCACCGCAACCTCTGCCTCCTGGGTTCAGGCAATTCTCCTGCCTCAGCTTCCTGAGTAGCTGGGATTACAGGCACGTGCCACCGTGCCCAGCTAATTTTTGTATTTTTAGTAGAGACGGGGTTTCACCTTTTTGACCAGGATGGTCTCGATCTCTTGACCTCGTGATCTACCCACCTCGGCCTCCCAAAGTGCTGGGATTACAGGCATGAGCCACCGCGCCCGGCCCACTTTTTGTTTTTTGAAATGGAGTCTCGCTCTGTTGCCCAGGCTGGAGTGCAGTGGCATGATCTTGGCTGACTGCAACCTCCACCTCCCGGGTTCAAGCAATTCTCCTGCCTCAGCCTCTGGAGTCACTGGGACTACAGGTGCACACTGCCACACCTGGCTAATGTTTTGTATTTTAGTAGAGACAGGTTTCACTGTGTTGCTAACGCTGATCTCAAACTCCTGAGCTCAGGCAATCAGCTCGCTTTGGCCTCTCAAAATGCTGGGATTACAGGTGTGAGCCACCATGCCTGGCCACCTGCACTTTTTAAAAAAATCAAATTTACCTTGTTTGGAGCAATGTTGAAAATAACATTAAATGCAAATACAGAAGCATTTCATAAATGTTTCAAACTTCTCTTAATTTTTTCATTACAATTCATATAAAAAGTATAGAGTTTTAAATTGCATTTTATTTAGAAAATAATACTGTTTATTAAAAATGCTATGGTTAAGAAAGACACTTTAAATTGAACTGTCTATATTTCATAATAGTAATGGTAAACAAATGTTTTGCATGTGTTGTTATCCTAATTAAACCTAATTGGTAATATTTAAGCAGACTATTTGTTAAGTGGCATATTATGATCATTTACTTTCACTAAAATAAATATGCTTAATATTATTCAGATATTTGTCTTTTGCCTTCAGAATAATTTTTTCCATAAGCAAGACATTTTAATGATCTCTTTTCATAGAAATTGATGAAGTGTACATTCAAAATGGATGTCTTAAAATCAAGCACTTTAGAATTATTGTGTTCAGATAAATCACCAATGATCCTTACCAACTTTTTCAAGCTCACTGTGAAAAACCCTAAAATTTGAGTTTAGTTTACATAAATATAGTTAGGATCATACACTAGGGGAATCATTGCTGTAATAATGAAATCTGAACTATGACTTTTCAAAAATAATGATGGAGAAAAGAAAGAGTGACAGGTGGCACTGTCTAGCAAGATGAGGCTATTTTTTAGGAACGTAGATGTTTTTGTGCAAATTATACCTTGTATGAGTTCAGTCTAGAGATTATGAGGGTCAGAGGATCAAAGAATATTCCCAACCATGACAGTCTATATTGCTTGCCTGGTACACATTAGGGCTTACAGGAAAATCCAAATTGTGGCTGGATATTTTGTGTGAAGCTTTGGAGACATTTGTGAAAATCCAAACATCTCAGATAATGGAGGCCAAGTAATTGAGAGTATTGTTGATTCTCTTGATTTGCAGGTCAAAGAATCAGGAAAGTGGGCTGGAAGCAGGTGTCTGCACACCCTACATGCCTGTGTCTCCCTGCCTCCAAAGCCACACTAATGCCTTCATTTCTGCCTTCCAGAGCCCATGCAAGTTTGGCTACTGGCAAACTCTAACGTATCATAAAGGGAATGGATTTTGGAATATGAAGTTCTGAAACACTGCCAATATCGTTGCAATACAAACAAAAGAGCCATCTCCAGCTTCTAGTGTGCAATCCAAGGTCTTTCCTGTTAATTAAAGTCAATGTTTTGATTAATAGCAAACAACAATGACAAAGGGCAAGGAGTAAGAGCTGAAAATAATAATTCACATGAGATTATACTCCGTGGTAAACCTTACTTTCTTACAAGGTGATGCCAACTATTTGTTAGCAAGGAAAATGAACTAGACTTGTTTTTCTCCCCCACCCCCCAAATACAGTAGTTTTCCCATAGAAGAGAAAGGTGGAATACATAATAGGATATGGGCTATCTAGAATCTGCCACAGGAGGCCAGTAGGAAAATCCTGAAAATCAGGGTCATTTTTCAATGGTAGTTAATCATGGAACTATTTTAAAACCAAACAAAAATTAAACCTACATCATATTAGATATTCATTTTGATTTAACTATGGGCACAACACATTTCAAAATGGAAGGAGAGAAATGTTACTAATCTATCAGAAAAAAACTCTATTAAGCAAATGCACTGTTCCCTTTATAGCACCCACAGAATTCTGTTATCTCAAGCTTTCCTTCCCAGACTAAGAATTAGAAATACTTAGTCCTTAGCCAGGCCTGGTGGCTCACGCCTGTAATCTCAGCGGCCGAGGTGGGCAGATCATGAAGTCAAGAGATCGAGACCATCCTGGCTAACATGGTGGAACCCTGTCTCTACTAAAAATACAAAAATTAGCTGGGCATGGTGGCATGTTCTGGTAGTCGCAGAGACTCGGGAAGCTGAGGCAGAATTGCTTGAACCTGGGAGTTCAAGCAATAAGAACACAATTCAATATTGCTTGAAAACATTCCGGTAACTTTCACTGGAAAAATGTTTATAACATAGAATGTGAGCTTAATGATAAGAAACTTGTTTGCTCTGTTTAATACTGAATTCTCAATTCCAATTACTGGGCCTGGTATGTGAAAAGAGTTTCTTGGTTTAAAAAATTTACTGTCAATGACTGAGGGAAAAATAAGACAAATTTTATGTAATATTACATACAATAGCAACAGAAATTTTGGAAATGATTTTACTTTTTTTTTTTTTTTTTTTTTGAGACAGAGTCTCGCTCTGTCTCCAGGCTGGAGTACAGTGGCACGACCTCTGGTCACCTCGGCCTCCCAAAGTGCTGGGATTACAGGAGTGAGCCACAGTGCCGGCCCAGGTTTTACTTTTTAAATGCTGATTTTACTTATAATCTATACATAAAAGGAAATGGAATTAGGTTTTTATTAACTAGAAGTAGCTGTTATGAGAACATGGACAGAAGTCTTCTGAGCATTTTCAAGTGCAAAGTTATTTACATTTAAGAAACAACTTATATAAAATTTGCAGTTCAGTAAAATTAGAGTACGAGACAAACCATAATTTGTACGAAGAATTCAAAACCTAAATATGTCAATGGATCATAAGTATCAAGTGACAACAAATGAGTCACTTTTATAGGGCTCATCACCTCTGCTTATTACCTTTAAATGACTGTAAAAGAAAGAATAACTCTTTCGGCGGGTTAATATTTGGATTATATTGATCATATCATATCACACCATGGGTCTCCAAAAATGTTCTGGGCTGCATATATGTTCTGCATATGAATCTTGGAAGAACACTAATAGTTGTTTCAAAAAGTGAAATGACATTTTACTCATAATTTTCTTCTTTTCCCTTAGCATGTTGTGTCAGTTTCCTAAGGCTACCAGAACAAATGACCACAAACCACTTAAGACAATAGAAATTTAATTTTTCACAGTTCACGAGGCTAAAAATTCAAAAGGGAAGTATGAGTATGACTGATTTCTTTAGGAGGCTTTCAGGTAAAATCTTCCTCTTAGCTTCTGGTGGTTTCTGGCTGTCCTTGGCATTCCATGACTGTAGGCAGCATAACTCCAGACTCTGCCTCCCTTGTCCCCTGGCCGTCTTCCCAGTGGATCTCTGTGTTCCCATGGCCTATTTATAAGGATACAGCCATTGGCTTTAGGGCCCACCCGAATGCTCTGTGACCTCGTCTTAACGAAGTGCATCTGCAGAGACGCTGTTTCCAAATAGCTTAACATTCTCGGGTTCCAGGTGGACATGACTTTCTGTGGGACACTACTTAACCCGGGAGATATGCATAATTTTTTAGAAAATAATGAGTTCTGCCTCTGCTAAAAAGTCCCTTTTCTTTTCATTAGTGTTGATTATTATAAATAGCATGGAGAGTTGACAGACCTCCAAGTACTTGTGAACGGCTACAGTGTGGGAAACAAATGGGGGAGTGGGAAGAAATAAGATTTGAGAAACCGTTCAGGGCAAGATAATAGAAGGGCATATAATTCATGCTAAAAAAAAAAAGTGATTTCTGTTTTGTGGCACGGAAGAGCAATAAAAATTTAGAAATATTTATTAGGTGTCTATTCTGCGTCAACAATATACAAAACCATTCTGGGGATAATGAGCTGAAAGAGTCATCGGCTTCATCTGTATCACAGTGCAGTGAGAAACCAATCCCTGAGACAGAAACAACTGGTAAAGGGGCACATTTGGGTTTGTCAAACTTGAAATTGAAAAGTATCAAGTAGAAAACAGGTCTAGCCAAGCTGAAATATTCCTAGCGTAAACAAAATAATAGGATGAAACTCTCTTGATATCTCAATGGGAAGACATGAAGAGATGACGGGAAACAGGATTCAGAGCCTTGCCACATTGGAAAGCATATGATCAGTTACCAAGGTTCCTAAAGGTTCCTAGAAGAAAGGGAAAACATTGGAAAATAAAAAGAGAAAGGCAGTTGGAGTGATAAACTTGGTGTTCAATTAAGGAGAGAGATGGAGGAAGGAAAGAATATACCAACTGGAAGAGCAAGAGCTGAAAAAAAAGAACTTATGAGAACATTTTAACTTTAATTGAGGAATGTTCAGTGAAACAATAGAGCTCTCCCCACCTCTTCTCCCTCTCCCCGTGGTCTTCTTCGCACCATCTTCGCCCTCTCTCCGCACTGTATTCTTTTTTTTTTCTTTGAGACGGTGTCTTGTTCTGTGGCCAGGCTGGAGATCAACATCGCGGTCTCGGCTCACTGCAACCTCCGCCTCCCAGGTTCAAGCAATTCCCCTGCCTCGGCCTCCGGAGTGGCGGGGGCTACAGGCGCGAGCCACAACAGCCGGCTGATTTTTGTATTTTTAGTAGAGACGGGGTTTTTCACTGTGTTGGCCAGACTGTTCTCGAACTCCTGACCTCGTGATCCGCCCGCCTCAGCCTCCCAAAGTGCTGGGATTACAGGCTTCAGCCACAGCGCCCGGCCTTCTCCCCACTGCATTCTGTCCCGCCCTCGCCTCAGCGTTTTCTTCCACTGTTTTCTCTATCACACCGTCTTCTCCCTGCACTTTCTCCCTCCTCCCCACCTTATTCTCCCCCTCTCCCACTTTCAAAGGTCGTTTCCACTCTCTCCTTCCCCTCCTCTCCCTCTCCCGGGCTGCGACTCCCGAGGTCTCCAATGGGCCGCGGGCGCAGAGCTCCGGGGCCGCTGGGCGCAGGACGCAGGACGCAGCAGCGCGCGCACCTGGAGAGCGCGGAGAAGGGAGTGGGCGAGGCGGCGGTTCCGGGAGAAGACGGTGGGGGAGGAAGAGGGGACTAGAGGGTGCGGAGAGAAAAGCGCGGCGGGAAGACGCCGCTACGGGAAGATGCCGCTACGGGAAGAAGGGGGGGAGATGGAGGCGGGAAGAAGACGGAGGGAGGAGGAAGATGGTGGAGAGTTAAGAGGCTGGGAAAGAAGACGAGGGCGAGAGGGAGGGAAGAGAAGACGGTGGGAAGAAGATGCGGCAGACAGACGCTGCTGCGACAGAGTGGGATGACGGGAAGAAAACGGTGCGAGGGGAAGAAAACGGTTGGGGTGGGGAAAAACGGTCGTGGGGACACGCGGGGAGAAGACGCTGCTGCGTGAAGAAGACGGAGGAAGGAAGAAGACGGAGGAAGGAAGAAGACGGAGGAAGGAAGAATAAGAGGGTGGGAAAGAAGACGAAGGGGAGAGGGAGGGAAGAGAAGACGGTGGGAAGAAGATGCGGCAGACAGGGTGGGATGACGGGAAGAAAACGGTCGTGGGGATACGCGGGGAGAAGAGGGAGTGGCGGGAAGACGCTGCTGCGGGAAGGTGGGAGGGAAGCGAGCGGGTGGAGAGGAGGAGGAGGGCGGGGAACAAGCCGCTGCTGCAAGAAGGCGGAGAAACCGAAGGGAAGAAAACGGTGGGGAAGGGAAGAAAACTGCGGGAGAGAAGAAGGCGCGGGAAGAAGACGGTGGAGAGAGGGAGCGGGGAGGAGGGGGTGCGGGGAGACCGCGGTGGGGAAGGAGGAGGGGAGAAGGACGGAGAAGAGGGGAGAGTGGGAGAGAAAAAGGTGGGAAGAAGACTTTGGGGAAGGAGAGGAGTCGGGAAGGAGACGGGAGGAAGAGGGCTGAAGGAGGGGGAAGGTGGGGAAGCAGACGGTGGTAAAGGGGAGAGGGAGGGGAAGAAAAAGTTGGGGAGGGAGAAGGAAGGTAGAAAGACGGGTGCTGAAAGAGAAGGCAGTGGGGAGAGGGAGAAGGAAGTAGGGAGAAGATAGTGGGAGAAGAAGGCAGTGTGGGAGAAGAGTTGGGGGAAAAGCAACAATGGAGAATACTAACGTTTAAACGTCGTCTTGAAGCAAAAGCAGCAAGTGCGCTTTAGAGTCCCGGCCTAACTTTGTTCACTAAATTCCCACTTCCAAATATGTTGTGTCTGCAGTGTGGGTCATTTTTAATGCTTAGATCCAGAGCAGTCTCTGATTGTTAGTGACAGTGCTGTCAAGGTGCATGCTGTTCACCAGCTAGAAACGAAAACATCACATTCTTTCAAGTGCATTTTAATACATAATTTTTCCAAGAATCTCATTGGGGAAAAAATTGAGGGGTGTACCTTTGGCATTGGACATGGAATCTCTGATTTTAGGTTGCATTGTTTCCCCAAATCTGTAAGATGGTGGCCGAAACATTATTGTGAATACCGCATTCTGTAGGGCAGTGCATGTTATTTTAACAGAGGTATGATAATATGATGTGTCTATAAAAATGTAATTAATTCAATTTAATTCACTCATACAAATTCAGGTTTCCTTAATATAAAAAAACACCCAAAACTCTTAAATTACCTTCAGAGTCAGAATTTGTAAATGCAATCCTGTAATGCTGCTGTTACATTACACCTTTATATACATGTTAAACCTTAATATTGCTTTTTGATTTGGCATTATAAAGCTTCATAGTTTATGTGTATTAATACCTTAATGTTGCTTTTTGATTTGGTATTATAAAGCTTCATAGAAGTTTATGTGTATTAATACTTACAGGTGAACTTGACAAATTATTGATGAACGATAACTATTAATGCTTGTAAAATAAGCAGTTAAGTTTAAGGATGTAAATACATTGTGTATTACCCTATGGGTGTTACAAAGATTTTCTTCTTTTGTATTCTACTTTAAAATCCTGGGATACTTACTGATACCTTATTTCCCCATGAAAAGGCTGCAGCTACCTATATTGTATTTCCGAACAAATGTCTGTACCAGAACATCAAGTGTAGAAATGAAGCAAAAACTGTATTTTAGGACAGGGGTGGTGGCTCACACCTGTAATCCTAGCACTTTGGGAGGCCAAGGCAGGTGGATGGCTTGAACTCAGGAGTCCCAGACCAGCCTGGGGAACATGGTGAAACCCTGTCTCAAGAATATACAAAAAATTAGCCGGGCATGGTGGTGTACGTCCTGTATTTTATTCAAATTGAAGACCTTGTTTACGCTTTGAAAACAAAATGATTTAATGTACTCACTTAGAAAATAATTATTTTCATGCCCAAAAGGGATTCACTTATAGCATACATTCATTCATCCTGTCAGACAGAGGGTTATACATGTCTGAGCACCGCCTATGAGTCAGGAACACAAGTCAGTAACCGCACTGACATTACCCAAGCTGTTCCCGTCTATTATATAGAGTAGCATAGATAACTTCATGGACTTCATCTCTTTTATTTGTTGTGGATTACTAACATGATCTTTTTGTATATAATTATCAATGGTGCTCCTAAATAGATGTTATCCTCTAGATAGTTACTAGACTCACCATGACTTACTGCAGATATGTCATCCATATCTAATGCGTAGTATACTAACTGTAATCTTTAATTATTAAGTCTCACATGGTGGTTTTGGCTTTAAATGAGCTCTTGGAGATCAGATGGTTTGTGTTTCTTGTGTTGTGGAATCTGGAACCTTAAATATGAAAATTCCTAAAACTCCTAAGATTTAAAATAGATTAGATTTTACTCTAAAATCTGTTGTGCCATCTGATACTTTAAGTTTTACACATGCACAGTTTTATAATATCACCCATTAGACAGTTTCACTGAGTTAAGCAGATCTTTTAAATGTTGGCACATTTCATTATACAATGTCAAATAAACAAACAAAAGCTTTGTTAAATCATTGCCAGCCTAACAAGAAAGATCTTTAGGTTTTTGGACAGCAGTCTGGCTCACAGTAGTTGATAAAAGTTTTCCAAAATTCTAAGTTTTAATTGAATTTATTTTATCACTGACATAGAGGTTATTGTTAGATTTCCTTGAAATGAGAAGTTCACTGTTTTTCACTTTATTCAGAGTTTACCATCTAGTAAATGTCACTTCTATTCTTCCATAAAAAATCTGGAATCCTCTGGGACTGCTTTCTCTCTCATACTCCAAACTAAGGCATCAGTAGATCGTGTTGGTGATTCTTTTAAAACATATTGTAAATCCAAGCATCTCTACAGGCCTACTGCTGCCACCCCGCCCAGCCACTATCATCTCAGGTCTCGATTAGCAACCTGTCCTTCTAGGTGCCTTTCACTCCTTCTGCTGTTCCTTTTGTCTTTCCAGAAAGCCACCTAGCTGATTTTTCAAAAATATCATTTAAAATGTCACCCTTTGGCTCAAATTCTTTAAATGAAGGCAAAACTCATGTTTTTTTTTTAATTTAACTTTTAAGCTCAGCGGTACATGTGCAGGTTTGTTACGTAGGCACACTGGTGTCATGGGGTTTTGTTGTATAGATTCTTTCATCACCCAGTTATTAAGCCTAGTACCCATTAGCTATTTTCCCTCTCTCCTCCCTCCCTCCCATCCTCCACCCCCAAAAAGGCCAAAGTGTTTGTTGTTCTCCGCTATGCGTCCATGTGTTCTCATCATTTAGCTCCCACTTATAAGCTTGCTAAGGATGGTGGCCTCCAGCTTCATCCATGTCCTTGCAAATGACGTGATCTCATTCTTTTTTATGGCTGCATATACCCGCTAGTGTATATATACCACATTATCCAGTCTATCACTGATGGGCATTTGGGTTGATTTCATGCTTTGGTATTGTCGACTAGTGCTGGAATGAACATACACATGCATGCGTCTTTATAAAAAATGATTTCTATTCCTTTGGGTATATACCCAGTAATGGAATTGCTTTATTGAGTGGTATTTCTGTCTTAGGTCTTAGAGGAATTGCTACTGTCTTCTACAAGGTCTTAATTGACACTTCCATCAACTGTGCATAAGTGTTCCTTTTTCTGCCACAACATTGCCAGCATCTGTTATTTTTTGACTTTTTAGTAATAGCCATTCTGACTGGTGTGACGTGGTATCTCATTGTAGTTTTGATTCGCATTTCTCTAATGCTAATGACTGGTGATGTTGAATGTCTTCTCAAAAGAAAACTCATTTTTCTTACACTGTTGAGCTGATTACCATCAGTTCGAAGCCTCACCCCTTTGCCCTGCTTGCCGGCTTTGCCTTGTCTGCGGCACAGTGTGAAACTTCATCTGCAGCATCTGCTAGAGGGATGCTGGAGAAGGACGGGGCTCTTCTTCCTGGTACTGAGTGATCATCTTAGCTTGCGCTTGTGATGCATGGCAGCCAACAGTCGTTATCACCTCTCTGGGGACAGAGCAGCTCATGGGCAGCACTTAGGGAAGCAGCTTCCCAATGTTTGTCAGTGTAGCCCCTCAGCAAAATTTTCTGCTGTTGAGCAGACCACAGCCTCACTCTCTCCAAGGAGGTCTAGCACTCATTTCTGGTGTGTGTGGGATTCTTCCAGACTGGTTTCTTCCTGCAGTGCTTTCCTGAAGCCCTGGAGAGCGCCGTGGTAGCTCCCTAAATTTGCTATCCCTATTTTTTTTTGTAGTGTTTGCTTTGTCTTTTACAAGCTTGTCCAACCCACAGTCCAGTACTGCTTTGAATGAGGCCCAACACAAATTTGTAAACTTTCTTAAAGCACTATGAGATTTTTGGCTGGGAGGCAGTGGTTCGTGCCTATAATCCCAGCACTTTGGGAGGCCAAGGTAGGCAGATCACTTGAGGTCAGGGGTTTGAGATCGGCCTGGCCAACAGGGTGAAAATTGAAAATCCATCTTATCTCTACTGAAAGTACAAAAATTAGTCAGGTGTAGTGGCACACATCTGTAATCCCACCTACTCAGAAGGCCTTGCTTGAAACCAAATTGTTCTCTAAAGACCTTGTGCCTAACTTGACTCCATATCGTTCTCTAAACCTCATGTGGAGACCTCTTGCCTTTCTCCTTCATGACCTGTAGGGCAGGGCCAAGAGGAGGAAGCAGCTTCAGAACAGAAAAAACACTCC